AAAAAAAAAAAAGCCCAACAATGATTATGGAGAAAAAGAAAATGTTCCAAAATTGGTTGTGGTAAAGATTGTACAACTCTTCTTGATATAGTTGAACTATTGACTTGTATGATCTGTGGACGAAGTGCCAGTACAACTGTTGAAAAACAAACAAACCATAAATTCCGTTCCTATAAGAATTTACAGCCTGAGAAACCCACAAGGGCATTCTGTCCCATAGGGTCAATAAAGTTCAGAATCAACATGGTGAGCGTGAGTTTTCTGACTTCTTTTATAGTTGTACAAATTAATTAATACATGTAACATGTTTACCACAGGGCCTGGCATATAATTAGCCCTCAGCAGACATGATTTTCATTGGTAGTCAGAAGACTGGTTAGGGAAGAGAAAGGTGAGAGGAAAGTCAAGCACGTGCTTAGTTAGGACTGTTAGGTTAGGGATGCCAGGTGAACATTAGACATCCCAGTTCAAGTATCAAGTAGGAAACTGGGAGTCTGGATCTGAGCTCAGAAGAGAGCTTGAGAATGTAATTTGGGAGTTAGTAGCACATAGAGACAGCATGTAAGGCCATGAGACTGAGTGTGATCACCAAAGGATGGAGATGAAAAGGTGTGAAGGGAAGTGGGAAGGGGCTAGCCTGGAAGAGAGAAACACAGGAGCCTGGGAGGAGGTTGGTGCACCAGTAAGTTCATGAATGTTGCACTCAGTGGTCACTAATTTTTAAGAGCAGCGAAACCACTCATTTATAAATCTGCCCCAAAATATTGTTAGAAATTATAGACAAATTTAGTTAACTTCCCAGACAGCCCATATTTTTTCCATTCTTTGGAAAAATCAGGACCAAAATTTTCTTTTCCCATTTGGAAAATGTATGGTTGCTTAATAATGCAATCATCCAACTATATTTCTACAATCACAAAGCGATTAATAAAGTGATTGTGGACATCTGTGCCAGATGCTGCTTAAAAAAAAAGCCCCTAAAGTATTTCAAACACGTACACAGAGAATAATGTAGTCCAACACTCTATGTGCCCATCGCCTGACTTTAATGAATGTTTAACATTTCATTTTGTTATTTTTGCCTCTAAATTTTTCGAAGACCGTTTCTCTCCACGAGTGATTTATGTCCCCATCTGCAGTGTGGCCTTGATCGACACAAGGCCGCGCACATTTCTTTTGCTCTCATCGCTGCCATCCCCATACCGTGTTTTTTGTGCTCCTGGGCAAGCGCGCTCCTCGCGGTCGGCAAAATAAACTTCTGGGTGATCGAGAAGCAAGACAGGGATAAAAACACTTCTGTAAAAGCTGACAGTTAGTAGAAAGATCCCCAGGGAATGATGAGGGAGGACATTGGAGACAGGGCATGGTGCCCCAACAGGCTAGACTGGAAAACACAAG